ACCAGGGTACACAAACTGGAAGATTTAAATACGGTGTAATTTTGGAGCAGACAGCAGGATAGGAAAAACATGAGGGGGATGTGAGTGGAAGGCTTTAGTCAGAGAAAGAAGGGACAGAGTGTATAGAAAGCAGAGTAAGAGTAGGGCCCTTATAACAAAGGTATCTACAGTTCTGCCGTGGGCAGTTGGTTTAGTTGCAAAGCCTACCTCTGCTTTCAGGCTTCCCATAAAACTTCTCCCAAAAAATCAAAATCAAATAAGATGTGACTTTATTCTGGAACTCTTTAGCTGAGCACTCCACAATTCTTTGAAGCTCTCCACAATTCCACATGTTTTACTACAACCTAATCCACAGAAAATACTAAATTCCCCTCTGTACACTCTACGAAATTATACCAAACTATCAGGGAAACAGGCCCAAATCCTTCTTTCTTTTCTACCTCCTGCTATGAAACTGCAGACAAAGTCCCTGGGTGTTTTTTTGTTGCCTGGTAGCTGAAATGTGCAACTTCTGGAAGTGTTCAAGTAGAATCAAGAGGCCTGGGCCAACAAGGTCCAGACCCAATTCTGTAGTCCCTGACTCTCAAAGTCACCAAGTTTTGACTTCAGATAAAATCAAAACACCTCACTCAGAAATGTGACTACTCATCACTTTTAAAACACTCCCAGCAGGGATGGAGAAAAAAGAAGCAAAGAAAGAAAATAATTTCTTCTTCCTGCAATTGTAGCAGTGTTTGATTGTAGGGAGGGAGAGAACTGCTAACAGAAATCATGTACAATTGCTGGCAAAAGATCGTCTGTGAATGACTGGATATGATATTTATTCACGTGTCCCTCTCGTTATCTTTATCAGTCCTGAGGACAGATCATATGCTGACACAGAAAGTAGTCTGTAATCCCTTCCATTTCCTTCTGCAAAACATTCATGACCAATGCAAGATACTCCTGTAGAAAATTGAAAATAAAAATAAAATAGCCTGGTAAATGTGTGGTAGAACAAAAATAATATAAAAAGCTGTATTAACAAACAACTATTCTCATAGATGTAAATTTTTACAGCAAATGGCCAAACTTAAAGGGAATCAAAATAAATACACCCTGTGTTGAGACTGCTGTGGTTTATTGTTGATCCCGCCTTTGCATTATCGTTTATCTCACACTGAACCTACACCAAAGAAGGAACTTGGAGAACCCCCCAAACAGCCACCATCTTTACTTTCCATGGGGGGAAAGGGGACGATAAGGAAGAGGATGGGATGGGATGGGATGGGATGGGATGGGATGAGATGAGATGAGATGAGATGGAATGAGATGGGGAGGAAAAATAACACAGTCTTTGAACCAACGTTTTCCCCTGGTCCTAGAGAACTCTTTGTCTGGTTGCCGAACACGTTTGTGAGATCAAGGAAAAGAATCCAAATAAAACAAAAGAGTCGGCGTCCCAGGCTAATTACAATAGGTGCCCAGCACAATCTCGTGCCAGCAGAGCATGGTTTGAATCTTTCGAGCATCCGCTTTCTCGGCACCCCCAATAAAACACGTCTCTCACCCCTTCTTCTTTGCGTTTCTCCAAGGTTTTCCCCAAACGGCCCGCTCTATGTCACTCCTTAGAAAAGGAGGACGTGAGGCAGTAACACATGGAAACAAATGTTGATGGTGACTTGTTATTATCCTGACAATATATAGAGAAATAAATCCCTCCACCTCACGCGCTCGCTAGCCAGTCCATTATGCAAAAGGAGCCCAAAGGGAAGAGCTTGCAGGAAGCGTTTCCGTGCACATTACAGAACCATATACCGCGGCATCTGCATCCTACACAAAGCCGGAGATGGTGCAAGAAGATACACGCTGAGCACCGCACAGACCAGCCGCGGCAACACCGAGCCAAGCCCTGGTCCAATCAGAGCCCTGTTAGAAGGTGGACCTCAGGGTCGGCTCTGGCGGATTAGCCTTCCCTGTTCTGACACCACGCTCTGCCCAACATCCACATCCCACCGGGAGCAAATCTAATTCGTGTGGTTGCTCATTTCTCAAACTGCCAAGCCCTTTCTTTCATCTGCCTCCCTGCTATTCGTCCCTTAAAAAGCCACCCCAAGGCCTGGGTGCCCCCTCTCCGACTCGGTTTTTCTTTTTACCTCTTCCCATTCCTAGAAAGGATTAAATGTTTCCTCTCTCCAACGCGCAAGCTGGAAAAGCGGAAGGCAAACGCCTCTCCTTGCTCCGGCACGCGCCCGAGGGGCTGCGAAAAGTACACGCAGCTAACAACGCGGGGGGAATCGTCGCAAATCGATTGGCCACGATAGTTGAAATCCCAAAAAGCTCCAACTTACCCAAAATATGACATTGAAGCCAAATATGAAATATTTGATGCAACAACTGACTTCAGGACCCTTGTAGTGCTTTCCGGACATCCTCTGGGTTCATGAAGACACTTGCCCCGGCAGCCCGAGTTTGGAGCCCCGGAGCAGCGGTGCTCGGAGCAGCCCGGCCGGGAGCGGGGGCTCGGGGACGCCACTCGGGGCCGCCGACTGTCTTCTCTGCTGCTCGGTGCGTTCCACGACTCGTTTGTAACTGGACGTGTGCATCCGAGTCGCCTGCAGCTACTCTGTCCGCCCCCAGCCCTGGCCCTTTGGGAACCAGCATATTGTGCTCTGTGTCTCAGTCTGGCTCTGTCTCGTCTGTTTGTTTTGTTTTAGAGAATGTTGTT